CTCCTCCTCCTCCTCCTTCCCCTCCTCCTCTCCCCTCCTCCTTCCCCTCCTCCTCCTCCTCCTCCTGCTCCTCCTCCTCCTCCTCCTCCTCCTCCTCCTCCCCTCCCTCTCCTCCTCCTCCTCCTCCTCCTCCTCCTCCTCCTCCTCCCCCTCCTCACCTCCTCCTCCTGCTCCTCAGCCTCCTCCTCCTGGTCCACAACGTCTTCCCCTCGGCCCCCGAGGTTTCGAAGTGGGAGGCTTCCGGTCGCCTTTGGCCTCTGTCGTCAGTGACACGCTTGACGTTGCACGCCACACATGCGTTTGTCCGTCGACGATCGCGCCGCATCGGGCGCTCCATGGATGGCCTCGCCTCCGAGGGATCGAGAAGTTGGTGGATGTCTTCGAGAGGCCAGCGGAAGGCGGCGGGAATGAGACGGGGACGGCTCTGCTGGCGTAAGCCGGTGGATCCACCGATCGTCGCCCGCAGACGTGCGTCTTACGTACCCAGTTTCCGAGTGTCTGCAATCTTTCGAGTTCTGGCGTCATTGGAAGAAGAACGACGCCTTATCGTCTCCGTCATCTGATTTGTAGCCTCACTCCGTCATCTAATGTGTTACTTCTTCATCTTCTTCTTCTCGTCTTCTCCCCCTCCCCTCCGTCCTCCTCATCTTTCTCTCCCCTTCGTTTTCAGGCTTCTCCCTCCTTCTCCTCTTCCTCCTCTTTCATTGTAATCGACTTCTCGTTTTTAGGTGACCTCGAGAAGGATCCTCGGTGAACCCATTTCCAAGGAAAAACACGTTCGGACCTACCGAGACCAGGTAGGAGACCGAGCTTCCGAGGTCTCCGCGGGCGTGGCTGCAAGTCAAGAGCTGGCCGACAAGGGCCGTGTGCCAGCTTTTTGCCGCGATGTTCGTTCAGGGCCGGTGGCCAACGCCACTTTCGGGATCCCACGTCATGGGCATTGCCCCAAAGCCAGTTGCACCAGCTCCGTGTCAAAGCCGCCAAGCCTTGGGGTCCATGTCGTGCTGGATGCTCGCCTGGTCTCGGGGTTTTGCGTGGCCAGAATCTCTGTTTGCGCGACCCTCTGTTGGTCACCACGGCGGCTGCAGTTAAAGAGCTTGTGAATGTCATCGGAACGCGCTCGGTTGATCGAGCTATTCTGGCGTCCCGTCCTCTGGGCGCGCGGGAGGTCTAAAGGCACGCGGGACCCTGGGCCCAGGCTCGGCAGCCGCCGGCGGCTCTGATGCTGATGCTGGGCCATGTCTCCTGGCATTAGAACTGCAGCGCTCGGACCTTTTCTGATGAGCTTGGCAGCTCCTGGAGTTTCGATCGGTTCATCCCCGGGCTCTTTTTGCAGCTGGTTGGGGGTTCTGTCAAGAGGGCGATTCAGAGAAAAGAACAGGGCAGTCAAGTGGGCGACGAAAAACGACGGGTCCAACTGCACCGACATTGGCGCGTAAGCTGCTCGCGTAAGGTCGCGCGTACGCGCACTCGTCTCCAATGTGGCGGCCCGCGTAAGCCACTGCGCAAGGTCGCAACGTCAGCTCGCGCAAGACTCGTCTTTGTTCGCCGTTCAAGTTTCATTCGCTGCCCGGTCGGGGCACATTTGGGGGAACCGAAGGAGCTCTCACTTTGCCACAGGAGGTTTGTCTCTCCCGCGTTTGGTCTGGAGATGTACACGTTTGCACCCGATCCTTCGGAGAGCGGCTTCGAAGATCAAGCTCTTGGGGACGGATTCGTGCCCAGCTTGCTGGTTTCGACGCCGCCCGTGGGACCCAGACGATAATTACTACATTCGGTTTCACATTAAGACGCTTCGCGTAACCCCACCAGCCCATCCAGAAAAGATGCCCAGATGAGTTGCCCTGATCACGGATGTCGAGGGGCATGCAGTGGAATGAAGGGTTGGGGTAGACTTCGTACCCGAAGAAGGGAAGAATAAAGGAGGAACCGGAGGATGAGGAGGAGGAGGAGAAGGAGGAGGAGGAGGAGGAGGAGGAGGGGGTGAGGAGGGGAAGGTTGAGGGGGATGGGGAGAGTGAGGAGGGAGGAGGCAGGAGGGGGATGAGGGATAGATGGATGAGGGAGAACAGGAGGATGAAGAGGAGGAGGAGGAGGAGGAGGTGGAGGAGGAGGAGGGGGAGGAAGAGGAGGAAGACGATGAGGAGGAGGAGGAGGAGGAGGAAGAACAGAAAGGCCAGCGACTTCTTTTTGTTTCTGCCATTTGTGTGTTGCACGCTGCCAAACTGGAACTGAGAACTGAGAACTCAGGGACATGGATGCCTCTCGAAGCGTGTTCGGCTGTCTCTGTAGAGCTTCTTGGAGTCCTCTTCGGACATCTTGGGGGCCTCTTGGCGGTCCTGGGGGCTGGAGTGTCTTCGGTGCCTCGGGAGAGCCTGGAGAGCCTTTTGGGGGTCATCTTGGGGTTTTCTGGGGCCTCTTAGGGGCCTGCTGGGGGCCGCCTGGGGCCTCCTGGGCGCCTCTTGGGGACCACTTGGGGCACTCTTCGGAGCCGTGGAACCCATGTCGAAAGCATCTTGGAGGAGATCGATGAAAGAAGGGGGGTCCTCAGTCAGGGGGCACCACCGCCCCTGCGGGCCACCGCCACCGCGGCGTCTGGCGGGGGCGCGTGGTGCCGTCGCCCAGGGTGCCGGCGGCTCGGGCGCTGCGCCCCTCCCAGTCGGCGGGGGGGGGGGACGGGGGCGATGCTGCTCGGGCCTGCCCTCGATCACCATGGGGGGGTCGGCGAGTGCCCTCCTCGCAGAAGTGCGGGGGCAAGGGTGCCGCCGTGCACAAGGTCCACCGCAGCTCGGTGTCGTCCCCGTCGTGGCGCAGTTCGGGAGCGCCGCCCCTCGCGTGAGCCGACGCATGTGGGCCAGAGGATTCGTTGACCTTGCTCGGGTGCGTGGGCGGGGGTGAGAGGTCGGGAGCACTCGCGGTACTGGCACCGCGTGGAAGAAGGAGGAGGAGGAGGAGGAGGAGGAGGAGGAGGAGGAGGAGGAGGAGGAGGGAGTAGGGGAGGGGGGGGGAAGGGAGGAGAGGTCGGCCGCACTGTGCATTGCAGCAGTTTGCGCGCCGCCTGCGGGAAAGGGGAGGAGGGGGGAGGAGAAAGAGGAGGAGGGGGGGGACGAGAAGGAGGATGATGATGATGATGATGATGATGATGATGGTGGTGATGATGATGATGATGATGATGATGATGATGATGATGATGATGATGATGATGATGATGATGATGATGATGATGATGATGATGATGATGATGATGATGATGATGATGATGATGATGATGATGATGATGATGATGATGATGATGATGATGATGATGATGATGATGATGATGATGATGATGATGATGATGATGATGATGATGATGATGATGATGATGATGATGATGATGATGCTGATGCTGATGATGATGATGATGATGATGATGATGATGATGATGATGATGATGATGATGATGATGATGATGATGATGATGATGATGATGATGATGATGATGATGATGATGATGACGAGGAGGAGGAGGAGGAGGAGGAGGATGAAGAGGAGGAAGGGGAGGAGGAGGAGGAGGACGAGGACGAGGAGGTGGAGGAGGAGGAGGAGGAGGAGGAGGATAAGGAGGAGGGAGGGGAGGAGGAGGAGGACGACGACGACGAACGACGACGACAACGACGAAGTGGAAGCAGTGGGAGGAGGAGGAGGAAGAGGAGGCGACGACGACGATGACGACGACAGCGACGACGACAGACGACGCCGACGACGCGGTTGGCGACGAGGATGGCGACGACGACGACGGCGACGACGACGACAGACGACAGACGACAGACGACAGACGACAGACGACGAGGAGGACGGCGTCCCCCCACGCCAGGAGATAGCCACCACCCCGATGCGTACGCCGCAGGCGCAGTCCGCCACAGCGATTCGGGTGCGCAGCACCGGCTTCAACGGCTCTGGCGGCAGGGTGAGCTCGGAGGCCCGCCTTCCCAGGTCCTCCTCCTCCTCTCGAGGGCGCTCTCTCGCCCCGCCCCAGTCTGCTCGGACTGAGGCCCTCTTGCCGTCGATGACGACGGTGACGACGACGCCCACCCTCCCCCACATCGATCCTCATCGTCATCCTCGTCGGCTCCAAGAGGATTTCGGATCTGGAGGATTCATGGATCGAGGGAGATTTCTGGGCCTCCTCCTCTTCGTTCATCCCGAGGGTCGAGCCCGTGCCCCCTCGCGTCGTGGCGAATGCACGGAAGGCGTTCGACCATTCTTGGCCCACGGGCCTGTCTTCACGAGGCGCCAGGGCCGTCAAAGACGTATTTTGATGAAGGCCCAGCCCCAGGGAAGGGGCTGGTCGAGACCTGTGCGGCTCCGCGCGGCGAAAGCGCACGACGCGGGGGATCTTGGGCGTGAAAGCTTCTGGGCGTCCCCTGGGCCTCCTGGTGCTCCCGCGGGCAGCCGACGGTCAGAGGCCCAGGATACGCAGGGAAGGAGGAGGAGGAGGAGAAGGAGGAGGAGGAGGAGGAGGAGGAGAATAAGGAGGATAAGGAGGAGGAGGAGGAGGAGGAGGAGGGAGCGGAGATGAGGACGAGGAGGAGGAGGGGGAGGGGGGGGGGACGAGGAAAAGGATGAAGAGGAGGGGCAGAGAGGAGAAGGAGGAGGAGGAGGAGGAGGAGGAGGAGGAGGAGGAGGAGGAGGAGGAGGAGGAGGAGAGAGGAGGGAGTGGGCATCCAACACTGCACATGGCCCATGAACAGTGTTGCGACAAGGGATGCGGACCGCGTTGTCCAGAATCGGGCCAGACCATCCGGCACTCGTGCGATCCGGGGCCTCCCCTGGCTCTGGGGCGAGGTGCTTCAGATCTGGCGTCGCGTTGTTTTTGTCGCGTTGAAGGGGGGTGAATGATCACGAGGACGTCCGCAGCAGTTGTGGCCCAAGACAGCGGCGCACCCTGCTGCACGGTACCTCCGCTGACGAGGCGCCAGCGGATCGCGTTTGGCCTCATTGGCCGATCCGTTCTTGAACATGACAGAAGGCGCCATCAGTCCCGTTGATACCACTTTCGTTTTTTTCGCGATGGCCATGGTGCAGCTCATGACCCCAGGCCTGGCTCTGTTCTACGGAGGATTGATGCGGGAGAGCAGCGTGATCACCATTATGATGCAGAATTTTGTGACCATGGGAATCGTCACGGTCCTCTGGTTCCTGTTCTTGTACTCCATGTGTTTCGCCGACACGTGGGTCGTCGTTGCCAACCCCTTCACTCACGCGTGCCTGCGCGGGGTCAGCATGTATGCGCCGAACGGGATCGCAACGACCATCCCCGCACTGCTCTTCGCGGGCTACCAGGGCATGTTCGCCGTCATCACCCCCGCACTGATGACGGGCTGCTTCGCGGACCGCTTCCTTTTTGGTCCCTACCTGCTCTTCATAACTGTCTGGATGATGCTCGTGTACGCCCCTTTTTGCCACTGGGTATGGGGCGGCGGCTGGCTGGCGCAGTGGGGCGTCGTCGACTTCGCGGGCGGCATCGTGGTGCACATCACCGCGGGCTTCTCGGCGCTGGCCAGCCTGCTGATGGTCGGGCGGCGGCACGTGCCCGACGGTATGGCGAAGGAGGACCTGGACGTGCCCCACAACATTCCGATGGTGGCCACTGGCACCGCCATGCTCTGGTTCGGTTGGTTCGGCTTCAACGGCGGCTCGGGCCTCGCCGCCAGCGGCCTCGCCGTGGGTGCCGGCGTCAACACCGAGATCGCGGGCTCCTCGGCGTGCCTGGTCTGGATGGTCCTGGATTGGAAGCTCAACAAGAAGCCCACCCTCGTGGGGAAGTGCGTCGGCGCCATCGCTGGGCTGGCCACCATCACGCCCTGCGCTGGGTTCGTCCAGCCGTGGGCCGCCTTCATCATCGGAGTGATCGCCTCGCTCGCGTGCTACGCCTGCTGCGAGTTCCGGAGAAAGTTCGAGATCGACGACGCACTAGACGTGTGGGGCGTGCACGGCATGGGCGGTTTCATCGGGACCATTCTCCTCGGGGCTCTGGCCGACCACCCTGATTGCCTGAACGCCGACCCTGAGACGAACACAGTCTGCATCAACCCAGGGACCGTGGTGCGGTCTTGGTCGCAGCTCGGCAAGCAGACGACGGCCGCCTTCTTCTGTGCGGCGTACTCCTTCGCGGTGACCATTCAGAGAGCCAGAGAGCCAGGCGAATAGGAGATTTTCGGACCACCGCGGGCTTTGCGTTCGCCCGCGCCCCCCCCCCCCCTCCGCACACCCCTCCCCCGGGTGGCTTCTCTGGGGTTTAGCGCATGCATCTGCGACGCAAGCTGGTGTATTCGCACTGGTTTGCTGTATCGTTAGTCCTCGCAGTCATCGGCCCGTTTCTTTATTTGTCAGCGCGGACCCCAAGCAGTACGTTAGTGCGCTGTGGATGTGTGAGGCATGTGGTGCAAACTATGCGGCGCAAGCTACGTTGTGAAGACGCTGTGGTGTAGGCTGTGCGGTGCAAGCTTCTCGGTGTAAGTTTTGTGGTGCAAGTTGTGCGGTGTAACCTACGTGGTGAAAGCTACGTGGTAAAAATCGCTAGCGCCAGCACATGAGCTGCCAGCTCCACTGCTCGCGCAATCATCCCACCCTCCCACCCGCAACTTATTTGCCCAACCGATGCGGCCGCGGTTGCGGTCATCGCTTGGTCGTGCCCGGCGTATCTCTGCGGCCGCGCTTGCGCGCGCAAGTTCGCGCGCTGGGCGGCCACCTTGTTGGGCACAATTGATGCGGACGCGATGGCGCTTGCAGATGGGAACTTCCCAGCGCGTCTCAGAGTCCGCGCTGGCGCACGGGCACTTCAGTGCGGGTCAGTGACTCTGGTGGGCGCGATATCAGGATGACGTGGACAACGGCGACAACGATGGCGATGGTGGCGATGACGACGGCAACGCCAATGACGACGGCGCCGATGCGGGTGACGACGATGGTGATATTCGATGTGTCGTTGGAGAATGTAATTATCATTATTCGACTGATGGCGGAAATGCCGGCGCATGACGATGAAAAGATGTCCCGGGTGATGCGATGGGTCTGATGCAGTGATGGTAAGGACATGCGCTCGCGGGAGAAAATGTTTGATTTTCTTACGTTTCTGGATTGATTTCTTTTTACCCATCGGTCGCTGAAAGTAGGTGTTTCTGGAGTCCCACATTCCAATCTATTTTAAGCGCCTTCCTGCTTCGAGAGTCGAGTGGCTTTCCCTCTTCCCTCCTCTTTTGGAGGCGGGCGGAAACCCAAGCTACTTCCAACGCCTTCCTACTTCATGGTTCTACCTACCTCTTCCGACCGATGAGCCTTGCTGAGAAACCCACCGTTTGTGGACGGATGCCGACACGCGCCCATTGGCAGCGTGCGCGCGTGGCCCAGCATATCATTTTTTCGCGAATCGGGGGGCGCCTGGTGGAGCAACGCGGATTCGCCACGCGGTGGAAAGTGAGAGTGCGGGTCTCCACGGGATTCTTGAACTCATGTGGTTTACGTCCGGTTTTCGACGGGATTCTTGAACTTAGCAAATCGAAGAGAAAGAAAAACATAAACAGAAACTTTTGGCGCTCCGCGCGGGTTTCTTGGATCCGCGCTGGGCCCACCCGGCGGCGCCTCCGGCGCCGACCCTGGCGCGCTCCGCGCGCCAGGGAGAACAGGTCAGAACATGTGCAAGGGTTGTGTTCTAAAACCTCCGGGTTTACGATGTGTGTGTACGATGTGATGCTTGCGGAAGGAGCGTGCTTCGTGAGAGTTTGACATGAGCGCGAGTGTTGAATTTGTACAACTGTAAAAGGTTGCTGAGACATTTTCTTGAGATGCGCGGTTGCGTGTGCATGGTGTTATTCGGAAGGGTTGAGTCAGTGGAGTCGATACCGGTCGCCCTGGGGTGCGGTCGTATGTAATATGAGCGACAGAGCATGATCATGTAGGTTGCAATGTCCCAGGGGGGGTGTCGATAAGCTCGGTTGGAGTCGGTTTTCAAGTCTGTTGTTCTTTTGCAAGGACAACCGCTGTTGTGCTATTAACGCGGACCGAGCCCGCGCATGGCTCTTTTCCGTTGCTCGTGCAAACATATGACCCACCCACTCGCAACATGCCAGCACAGCTCACGTGGGCGGCGACATCAACGATTACGATGATGATGGCGATGTTCATGACGACGTCGAGGACGATGTCGACGACGATGGTGATGGTGATGGTGATGATGTTGGTGGTGATGGTCATGCCTTTGGTGATGCTGACGATGTCAATGAGTATGATGATACCGATGTTGCTTACGAGGATGATGGGGAGGTGCTCGCGCGCAGAAATGCGGCGACGATGACGACACCGACGGCGACCGTAATGACGGTGGTGGTTATCATGACGATGTCGATGGTGATGACGAAGACGATGACGATGACAACGGTGATGTTGGCGATGATGACGACGCTTGTGCAGATGAGGATGATAGAGAAGTGTGCGCTGACACAGTAATTCCAGACACACTTGCTTGATATGTGAGGCAACGTGGACTCCAAAGAGTGGCTTCATGCAACCTACGCGGTGCATCCCAGGCGATGCAGTCAATTTGTTGCAATCTAGGTGGTCCCATCAGCGCGGCATAATCTAGGTGGTGCAGTTGGCGAGGTGCAACCAAGATGGTCCTGAGCGTTGCAAAGTAATGCAACGCGATGAAGCAGTACGAAGTAATAACAAGCAATGAAAAGCGATGCCAAGCAATGTCTACCAATGCAAAGAGATGTGAAGCAATGCAGAAAATGATGCAAAGCAATTCAGAGGCAACGCAATGCATTCCAGTGCAAAGACAATATCAAGGCAATGCAGAGGCAATGCAAAGCAATGCAAATCGATGCACTGCAAAGCAATGCAATGCAATGCAAAACACATCAATGCAATGCAAAGCCACGCAGAGAGAATGCAATGCAATACAATGCAACTCAGAGGCAATGCAACTCAAGACAATGCAATGCAATGCAGAGCCAATGCGAAGCAATGCACGTCGATACAATGCAGAGCACCGCGACGCAATGCAACGCAATCCAAAGCTAAGCAAAGCAAAGCAAGGCATCGCAGTGCAGGACAATGCATAGCAATGCAGGGCCAAGCAACGCGAAGCAATGCAAAGCAAAGCGAAGTGATGCAAAGCAATGCAACACAACATAAACCAACACAAAGCAATGCAACGCCGTGTCGGGGCGGCGGTGGCGACAACATGGCAGCCAGACCAGCAATCAGGCCCAGACGACGATGGGGGCGGCGAGGCAGCGACGGGGAGCTGACGGCGATCACGTAGCCGCCAGACCGGCAGTCAGGCCCAGGCGACGGGCGGCGATGAGGCGGCGACAGGACGGCGACGGCGACCACATAGCCGCCAGACCGGCAGTCAGGCCCAGTTCCTTAGAACGGAAGTAAGACGCCCTGGGAGCAATTGGTTTGCCGCAGGACGAGTGTGGAAGGACTCGACGCGCACGCGCAGAGAGGCGCGCGCGTGGCCCGCGCATGGGATCCTTTGGCAGAATTGGCGGGCGCGCGGTGGTTGTCGCGAAGTGTCGACATGCGCGCGCGCGTGCGTGTGTGGCCTGCATGGTCTGACTTGGCAGAAATGCTGGAAGCTGAGGGTTTTCGGATGGTTCCAACATCTGCGCGCGCACAGGATTCTTTCAGCTTGTTGATGAACGGCCACTGTGCTGCGATAGGTGTCGAATCGCTATGTCTCGATGGTGTATCAAAGCGAACGGCGTTTTGCCCTGGATTCGTTCTGACACGTGCGCGCCACGGCGCGCTCTTGTGCCCATCATCATGTGTTTGTTTCTTGTTTTACGAAGATGGTTCTTAGGACCAAAACACGTACTCCACCAATGTGTGTGTTCTTCGTAGAGCGTTTTTTGATGAGGAGGAGCGTGGGGGTGCGGGTGAGAGTCAATACCTGTTGGCCAGGGTTAACACATCGAGTGATTGCCCGCATCAGAGGTCGTGTATCTTTCATGACTGTAACATTCGGTACATGTTTCCATTCACATATTCGTTAGCATATGTGTATGAATATGTGTATGTGTATATGTATGTGTATGTGCATGTGCATGTGTATGTGTATGTGTGTGTATGTATGTATGTACGTATGTACGTATGTGTGTGTATGTATGTATGTATGTATGTATGGATGGATGTGTGCATGCATGCATGTCTGTCTGTCAGTCTGTCTGTCTGCCTGTCTGTCTGTATGTATGTATGTATATGTGTGTATGTATGTATGTATGTTTGTATGTATGCATGCATGCATGCATGGATGCATGCATGCATGCATGTATGTATGTATGTATGTATGTATGGATGGATGGATGGATGTATGTATGTATGTATGTATGTACCTATGTATGTATGTATGTATGCGTGTATGTATGTATGTATGTGTGTATGAATGTATGTATGCGCATGCATGTGTGTATGTATGTATGTATGCATGCATGCATGCATGTATGTATGTATGTATGTATGTATGTATGTATGTATGTATGTATGTATGTAGGTATGTATGTATGTATGTATGTATGCGCATGCATGTGTGTATGTATGTATGTATGTGTGCATGTATGTATGTATGTATGGATGGATGTATGTATGTATGTATGCATGTATGTATGTGTGTGTGTATGTATGTATGTATGTATGTATGTATGTATGTATGTATGTATGTATGTATGTATGTATGTGTGTGTGTGTGTATGTATGTATGTATGTATGTATGTATGTATGTATGTATGCATGCATGTATGTATGTATATATGCATGTGCAGTGGGTGTGCAGATTCGCCCATCTGTGTATACATATAAGCATATATGAACAACTCACGCAGGATGACCGTTACCGCCGGCCTCGGTTGGAGGGGCTTCGTTGTAGTTTCTCATAGGAAGAAGAAGTATATATGCGGCCGCCCGGCCGCCCAAAAGTGTTCGCAGGTCGCCCACGAGGCGCCCCACACGTGCGGGCACCAAGCGAAGCCTCGGCTGACCCGCCCACCGCACGAGGCGCCCACGAGGCGCCCACCGACGGACACCGTGCGAAGCCTCGGCTGACCCGCCCAGCGCACGAGGCGCCCACGAGGCGCCCACCAGCAAACTTGGGCTGACCTTGGCATCGCTCAGACGTGTGCATTTTTCCTTCGGCGGGGACCATCGAGGAGCATCCTTGATCATTTCGCGAAAAAACCACGCACGAAAACCGAAAAAAACACAGGAGATGGACGTCCGAGCGATGGCCGGTGGCCAGTCGCGGTTCTTGGCGCTTCGCCCCTCCGGCCCGTCCGGCGGCGGTGCCCGGGCGACGTTCCTTGGTCAGGGAAGTGGGGCAGCAGGCAGTGGGACAAAGAGCTCGGGATGCCGTCGAACCGAAGCCTTGGGTCCGTCAAGCCTCTTGAAGCCATCTTGGAGCCATGCTGGCAGAGTTTTAAGCCCACTCGGAGCCGTCTTGGGTGCCTCGTGGGGCTCATTGGGGGGTCTTGGGGCTCTCCTGGGGCGATCTTGGAGGCCATGGTTCCAAAAAGGGCGAAGGCTGTTCTCGGGCCACCACCCTGGGAGGTTGACAAATCGCCACTTGGGGTCCTCTTGGGGCAGTTCTGGGCACCTCTTGGGTGCTCTTAGGGCCCTATAGGAAGCCTCTTGGGGCCATATTGGGGTCATCTTGAGGCCTCACGGGCGCATCGGAAGCGAAAAGGCGACGAAGCAACAAACATTGTTTTCCCTTAAAGCGTTGTAAAGATTTTGGCCTCTTGGGAGGTTCCTTGGAGGGCTCCGAGAGCACCTCTAACCGCCTTTGGGGGCGTCTTGGAGCCTCTTGGAGGTATGTCGGAGGCTATCGTGAACCGTGTTCGGCTACCTTGAGCCATCTTGGAGGCCATCTTTGGTTATCTTGGGCCCTCTTGGGACTATCTTGAGACGTCCTCGCGGCTCCACCCCCTGTACTGACACAGGGAGGGGGGGGAAGCGGTAAACCTCCCCGAATAGGGGAGCGGAGGACCTGCAAAAGGAAACGCCATGGACCACCTGCGCCCAGAGGGCAGGTGGGAGGTAAGAATCGGCGGCCAGCCTGGAGGGGAAGTAAGAAGGGGCGTGTATCGGTCCGCAGGATGATCCAGTCCGCTCTTCGATGGCCTTCGCCTAGAACAGATGCACACGTCCGAGCGATGCCAAGCTAGTGAGAAGGAGCAGGCCCTCTCAGAGGGCGGTGGGGCTCCTCAGCAGCCCTCCCGCCTTCGGGGATGTCTTCTGCGTCAAGCCTTCTGGCCTTCGTCTGGGAAGGCTTAGAACAATTCTCAGAAGGCGTTATTTGGCCTTCGTCGGGGAAGGCTTGGGGGGCGGGCCTTCTCAGAAGCAGAAGGCCGGGGAAATTCCGAGCCTTCTGAGAAGGCCCGCCCCTTCTCACGTCCCCCCCTGGGGGCGCCGCCGTATTGTAGAACCTGCATGGGCGAGAAGCACGTCCGTATCCGCGGCCTCGCGGGCTGGGCCCCTGGTCGCGACCCCGCGGATATGGGGCGGTTGTTCGTCGACGCCCCGCGCGGATCGTGTCCGGGCGACCGCGTATCGGCGGGATCGCGCCCCGGAGTGCAAACCGCGAGGCGCGGATAGGGATCTGTGCGCCGCTCGTGAAACCCCCAACCCTCATGACACAACGAGGACGCAGCCCAATTCAGGTCCCCGTTTCTTGCGCTGGGGCTGGTGATTCTTGGCGTCTTGGTGTTTGATGCGTCTGCAGAAATGGCCCCTTACTCCTGACGTGTTGGGCCTCTTGACTTCGGTCCGCTCCCAAAGGTTCGGGGGCCTTTTTGCTGCTAGTCCTCCGTGGCTCTCGGACGCTCTGCCGTCGCCATCCTGAAGTGCCTCAAGCTGATGATGAGGGTAGTCCCGTCAAAGGATCCCCGGCAGCGCTGCCCGATGTTCAGGAGCGACAGAAGGACGTACACGTACGTACACGTACATGAATCCACGTTGGTTTCGAGAGTACGCATTGCGCAAATGTTCGTATATCGCGGCCGGTCTCGCGGATCGAGGGGCCGTGTTCATGTACATAGTTGTGCGCGTACGTCCTTTGTGGGCTCCCTAGATGTTGCCCGATGCCCGCGTGGCGCTGTTGCGCATGCTGGTGCGGCCGACCCGATCCCAGCTCCGACGCCGTGCCGATGCGCCCGACTCGAGGCGCGGCCCTGCCCGATCCGATCTACAGGGGAGGCCCAATGCCAAGACACACCCCTGCTTGCCTCCGGGGTGCCCTGGGTGTATTGGGTTTCGATGGTTTGGCGACGGAACGTGTGACCATCCCACACCGAAGATCCAGAGGCGCCCTGGGGTCTCAGGGTTGGGTTTCTTGTGAAAGGCTTCTTGTGGACCGGCATCCGCTGTATCGATCGTCTCTGCCCCCCTCCCCCTTCCATCAGGGGCAACGCTGGGGAGGGGATAGGCTCAGAGTGCACGCATCGACCCCCAATCGCCCACTCGTCGCCGATGGCGGCCGGGTAGCCCACCCCGCCCAGGAGCGTGCGGACTCGCCATCGGGGGCCCATCGCCGACCTCGTTGCGATGTGTGTAGCCGGCATCTGCCAAAGACTGTTCTGTTGTTCTTCACGACGAGAGCCGGTCCAGGCTGAGCGGCGGTCGGGTCCTAAGTCGAGCTCGCGGTTGCAATTGGCGACGATGCGGGCAGCCTTGGAACGTTTTCGGCGAGGCGCTGTTGGAGGAAACAATCCCGTGGCGAGACAACCTCTACAAGCCAACAGAAGCTTCCGAGCACTTCTGCTGGGATTCCTTCGCGACGAGATGCGGTCACCCCCCCGAACGTTGCCCCTCCAAGGAGGAGCAGATGGACCTCGACTTCCACGTGCACGGCGAGTGGGCGCGGTCGGAGCTGAAGTCGCGGCTGTCCAACTCCTCCATAGACGTCGCCTTGGACATGACGAAGAGGATCAGCCTGGGCAAGGTTGTGCAGGCGATCTGAAGAAGAGCATGCGGAAACACAGTCTTCTCTGCTTATCCATCCCCTTCTTCCTCCCCCCTTCCCTCCTCCCGTCCACCTCCTCTCCCCTGCCCTCCTCCATCCTCCCTCTCGCCCCCCGCCCCACTCCCCTCGTCCCGTTCCCGCGCCCCCCTCCGCCCTCTCGACTAGACGTAAGAGTGACCTTTCGCCGGAGTGACCTTTGGTGCGGGCCCAATGGGGTGCCCCAATCGCCGAATGCGATGCGATAGCAGCGGCTTGCGCGCCCATGTTTGGCCCCCCCGCGTCCCCCGTTGAGCTGCGCACCAAAGGTCACTCTTGCCCAGGGTCACTCCTACGTGCAGCCGAGCCCTCCTCCTCCTCCTCCTCCCCCCTCCTCTGGGCGGGAGGGCGAGGAGGGGATGCAGCCAGTGCCTCCTGGCGGGGGGCGCGGCGCTGCAGGAGCCGACTCGAGCATGCACCTGCGGGATGGCCGGGCAGGTCTCCCGCGCACGCGTCTCTTGGGGTCGGCGCTCGGCCCCCCCCCCTTGCGCGGCGCCTGGCGGCGCCGCCCTGGGCGTAAAGTCGGGCCTGCCCCTCGACTGGAGGAGAATCAAAAGATAGGCAAAACATTCGTTGAATTTTGAGCAGTTGTTGCTTATTGGAGTATGTTGAGGGAAGATTTTAAGCAACAGCAGAAGTATGGGAAGACTGTTCAGCAAAAGTAAAAGTATGGGAAGATTTTGAGCAACATTGAACAACAAATGGGAAGATGTTTGAGCATGTGTTGATTATGCTTGGGTGCCGCTTGGCTACTTTGATTGTGTCGTCCGAGAAGGACATGCCCGACCCGACCCTGGGCGCGCCTCGCGAGCCGAGGGGAGTGGTGCTGGGCGTTGGCACAAGAAGCCAGTGCGGACGTCAGAGGTTGTACTTGCTCAGGAGCGGAAGGAGACACACACACAACGAATCGTCGATCCCAAGGAAAATGTAGGGAAATATGGGAAGAGGGGGGGGAGACGAAAACTCATCAAATATGAGAAGAGATCGGGAATCCTCGGATTTGTGTGCATTCATTAGTGTGTCCCTGGGCCCCTCTACTTTTGCTGCTCTTTTCCTGCCAGGTGAAGAAGAGCGACAACAACGGCAACGGCGGAGCCAGCGCAGACGAGAGCGACGGTGAGTGGAGCAGCTCCTCCGGCGACGAGGAGTGAATGCGCACGCGCGGGCGGGTTTTCTCCGGGCAGCGAGGTCCGCCAGTGAGAGCGGGCGCGAGAGCCCCGCATCTTGTCGGGACGCGCCGTCGCGCACACCCCCGCGCAACCCCGGCAGAGCGGATCGTTTTCTGTTTGCCCTCTGGCCATCCCGGGGTCGCCTGCGGGCTCCGAGGCCACCGGAGCTGGATGCTCCGGGCAGCGTCGGGGCCCTTGCAGACGACGTGGTGACCACGCCGCGCTCCGAGGCAGTCGGGGCCCGGGGTGACCGCACGGTGCTGGGCCTCGGGTCGCTCTCCGAGGATGTCTCGGGCGACCGGGGCCACCAATATTCAGGAGGAGAAAGAAACACACAGACACAGCGAATCGTCGATCCCCCAGAGAAAATATGGGAAAATATGGGCATTGGGGGGGAAGACAGGAACCCAGGAGATATGGGAAACTATGGGGAATCATTTCATTTGTGTGTATTTATTTGTGTGTCCCAGCGCCCCATTCAAAGATGGGTGACGAACAGCGACACGAACATAACAACTCGGAGGTCCGCGCGGATTTCTCGGGTCGGCGCTGGACCCGGGAGGCGCCGCCAAGGGGCTCCAACGCCGATCCGAGGAACCCGCGCGGACCTCCGAGTTTTTCTGTTTATATGTCATTGGTCGTTCCCCCAGGCCAGGATGCAAGGGCCTTGGACGCCCATTTCGCAGCCCATTTCGAGTCTTTATGTCTGGGTCATCGTCTTCCCCCCCTGGCCAGGACCCCAGCAGTTTGTGCGGTGAGGTCTTTGGGGGGCACTTCGATCGGGGGTGGACAGAGTCCCCGACAGTGACACGTCGATTAGTGAATTGTCCGTTTTTGGTTCTCGAGATGGCGCCATGGCCGTCATTTTCCAGGCTTGCGCCCGCCAGGTCTGGGCCTCAGGTCGTTTTCACGAAACCACGTTTTACGAAAGGGGGGTCTGTCCATCCCCAATTCGAGGTCCCCGCACGCTCCGTCGCCGCCCCCCCCCCCCCCCGGGGGCAGGCCTTAGATCTGGGCCCGGAGGCGGCGCCCGCTCCGGGGGAGCGCGCGACGCTGGGCGGATCCTCCGGGCCCGCCGGCGCCAGGAGGTTCCCGGAGCCACCTCGTGCTGCTTTGTGCCCCCAGTTTGCTTTCGGTTTGTCTCCTCCTGCCACCTCTTCCTCCTCCTCCTCCTCCTCCTCCTCCTCCTCCTCCTCCTCCTCCTCCTCCTCCTCCTCCCTCCTCCCTCCCTCCCTCCTCCCTCCTCCCTCCTCCCTCCTCCCTCCTCCCTCCTCCCTCCTCCCTCCTCCTCCTCCTCGTCCTCCTCCTCCTTCTTCTCCCTCCTCACAAGTTTGCGTCGTTGGGAGGTCAGCGCGAGCATGCGCGAGCGGGCGAAGAGCGAACAAGCTCATGGGTTCAAGTCGTGCTGCCGTGAATCGCCAACTGGCTTCCCGAGAACTCATTGCGAGCCTCGATCCGACACTGATCCCGGTCGGCCCGATCCGGCTCGATTCCGATGCTCTGGCGATCCCATGTTGCCCGATGCTTGGCGCTGTTGCGTAGTCTGGCGTTGCCGATCCGATCGGATCCCATACCCGATTCCGTGCCGATGCGGCCCGACTCGGTCGATCCGATCCGATCAATCAATTCGGCCGATCCGATCCAATCCGACCCGATCGGTCGACCCGTGCCACGGCCCGATCCGATCCGATCGATCGGTTCGGTGTCGACGTCCTCGGGGGCAGCGTCAGACGAGGACGGGCTCGGAGGTGAGCGCACCGACCCCCAAAATGGCCCACGCATCGGTTCTCAGGGGCCCGGTGGCCCACGCCGCCCAGAAGCGTTCGGAGATACCGCTAGGGGCAGGCAGGAGCCTTTCGGCTGTGCTCCCGAGGCCAGAAGCGCCAGGGAGCCGCGGGGCCCAGACGTCTTCTTGTCGTGAGCGAGCGTCGCGACGGGATGGGTCTGGCCCGTTCCACCGCCACCACCGTAAGCAGGAGGGGGAGGGGGTCCTCCTCCTCCTCCTCCTCCTACTCTTCTCTCTCCTCCTCCTCCTCCTCCTCCTCCTCCTCCTCCTCCTCCTCCTCATCATCATCATCATCATCATCATCATCATCAATATCAATATATCAATATCAATATCATCATCATCATCATCATCATCATCATCATCATCATCAGCAGCAGCAGCAGCAGCAGCAGCATCAGCATCAGCATCAGCATCAACATCATCATCATCATCATCATCATCATCATCATCATCATCATCATCATCATCATCATCATCATCATCCCTCCTTGCCCCCTCCAACTTAGTGTGGTGGTGGTGGGAAACAGGCCCATCAGCTCTTGTAGGTGCTCTCGCCTCGGGATGTTTGCCAGCAGCCACACCTCGCTGAGAACGCTGGCAGGGGCGCCCAGGGCGTTCCGAGCGGCCGCCAGAGGCCCGGAAATAACACCCGATGAGCAACCCGTCCAGGCTGCCTGTCGTCGTGAAGAAAGTCACGTTGAGTCGGGCATGTCCCTCTAGAGAAGGAGTATTCAAAAACAGTCAAACATAGTATGGGCACGATTTCCCTACTATTTATGATGATGTTTGAACGTGTCGCAAACACTCCGCCTGTGGGAGGACACGCCCCACCTAAGACTATTGGTTTTGGTCCCGATGTCGGCTTCTGTGGCCTGGGGAACGAGTCTGGAGTTCATGAGAGC